GATGAATCATGTTTTACTTTTTTTATTTTTTGCTGATATGTCTCCAAAATTACATCATTTTGGGTCAATTAGCACATTTTTATGAGATGATAAAAATAGTATAAAAACGCTTCAGAATCGCGATTGTACCGATTATAAGCGATTTTACCGATTTTACCCATGTTTTTACTAGTTTTTGTGACTAAGCGACTTTAGGTAGAAACTGAAATGTTTTGGCCGGCGGGATACGTAAAAATGTAAGTTTTTACGTTTTAATGCGCGATTTTGACTGCACACTAGTGATCATGTTGATAAATGCTGGGGGTAATCTCCATGGTTGCTTCCCCAGCCGGAATGACAACACATGAAGCTCGGGCTCCAGTCCGTCGATTCAAACGAGCCCTGATCGAACGATCCTCGTCTGCCATGATGACAAGCTCAATGTCACAAGGTGGTGGTGGTGGTGTAGGGACGACAAGTGATGAAGCCTGCCCTCTCTGGGTTAGGGAAGGCCTTGTAGTTGTGGTTGGCTGCTTCCCTAACTTGACTTGCTTCTTGTTCTGACGGCAGGTCTTCTCGATCTCCGGATCTAGTGGCAGTAAATTGCCAGTCGTCCTCCTAGGCATGCACGAGGAGGATAAACCTGAAAACTCTTCTGCACACTAACACCCAGATCAAAATAGTTCACTCACAAAAATCAACAAAAATAAGGTACGGCAGTCCCCGGCAACGGCGCCAAAAACTTGATAGGGCAAAAGCGTAATGTCAATTCCTATCTTGTAGTAAAACCAGAAATCCGAGTATCGTCTCTCAGGGACTGGTACAACCTTATAATTTATCAATTCTGTGGAGCAAACTATAAGTGAAAAACGGTTTGGTTGATGAGATTATTAACTACTAGCAAAATAATTAAACTAATTAAGCAAAGTAAACTTGTCGGGAGAAATTCAATGGGAGAAAGCTCTGGGAGAAACACCGGGACTCACTACCTATCCTATCCAGATCAATTCATATATTCCAATCAATTTAATCCAACTCTCTATAGCCAGGCTATCACGAATGTTCTAGCTATCTCTGTCGGGAAGTACTACGTACTAAACAATTAAATAAAATCCTACTGTTGTAGCTCGATGACTTAATTATTTAGCCCGAAGATCGATATCCTATTTAAGACCACATAGCACCTTATTTAATCCATTGTCGCGTCGATAAGTTACTAAGTCACATGAAATATGTTCAGTCATTAGGGTTTCACTGTCGCTAATAACCTAATTAACAACAAATCAATGTATTGGTGGCCAGTCAACACAAAGCATTAAGTAATTTCATGCAATAGAGATTGGAAGAAAAGAAATACGAATCAATCCATCAATTCTAGAAATAGCTACATCCTATGATGTTTCCCCCCCAGAAATTGGGGTTTAGTTCATTATGAAACTGAGATGAATCGATATAGTTTTGATCATCATATTCTAAATCAACAATAAACAACTAATTTGGTTCAGAAAATCCAACCAAATAATCGCTCTCGTTGAACTCAGCTCAAGCCGCCTGGGAAAACTCGATCGCCAATTGCCCTATTCCTCTCGTCCCCAAGCCTTGCGCTGTCCCGCTGCTTTCTTCTCCAAAAAAGAATTCCATCCCAAAATAATTCCTCCGCCATTAAAAGTCCCAGGCCCACTTCTTGTTCTCCTTTCGTTCCAAGTCAAAAATGAATCCACACCTAATAATCACCTGCTTCCGTCCCAATTAAACGCCAGCTGGTCCGCTGCGTTCAAGCTACCCCCAATAATAGGCTCGACCCAAAAAAGAATCCCCCTCTTGGTCTCGTTTCCAATTCACCTCCATGTCAAGGGACTCCGAGCCATAATTTCCCAGCCCAGTCAAGTCACTTCCGGCCCACTGCTCCTCCTAGCCCAAGTGAATATTCCACCAGTGATTCAAGCTCGATTGATTGCTTGTGCAATTTCTTCTTTTTCATGCTTTCTCCACCTGTAACATATCAAACTCATGACACTAGGCAGTAATGGTTTTTCAACCATTTCCGGATTAGCGAGCCCTAAAATAGCACCAATCGGCTTAATCAGATCATACGATAGTCACATAAAGTTCAAGAATCCGATATATTAAAGCTGATTATCAACAACAGCCGGCGCCATGCGCGGTTGGTAGCAATAGTGAGGAAGTAGTCGTAGCAATTCAGCTTCTGAAACTCCCCCTGGTCCAAGAGTGATGCTTCCCAAACTTAGAGGCCAGGACGCGCTTAAAGCGATCCTTGTGGGCGCCTCTTTTCAAATCGTGGATGAACCGATGCTTAAGATCGGTTTCGACATGGTCTTGCAAGAAAGTAAACCAAAGTGGAGCCAAAAGAGCCATAGGGACGGTCAATCACACCCCCACACCTAATAACAGAATACAGCCGAACCACAGTTTCATCCATAGTTCGGGGTGAAATAACTTAAGCAAACAAGCACAATTTGGGCGGGGGTGCACATTCACAATAAAGTAGGCAACTCAAGGTTCACATCCATAACAAACACACCATCAAAGCACATCATTAAGGGCCCAACCGGCTCCCACAAAATGGTAAGAAAAACTGGCATTTCATTGAACACCTTGTGTGCACTTTTAAATTAAGCATAGAATGGGAAAATTCCTAGTGCAACAAGGGCTCAATCAAGCAAGGGAAACATTTCCCAACACAATCCACACATAAACCAAGCCTTCCCCTCAATCAATTACAATCAAATCGCATGTTTCAATGAGGTTCTCTAAATACACACCCTAATACCCAATTCTCCACAATTCACAAGGTAAAGGGCAAAATCAAACCTGGAGACACAAGTAGAGGTGTAGGGGATGATGAGGGGAAGGCAATGGAAGTGACAAAAACCAGAAATTCTGCCCGAAAATTGCTCGTCGGAGCCTCTCCGGAAATCGCCTCTGGTGACCCATAGCCGGCCCAAATCACCCCAAAACCAAGGGATAGGGCGAAAGGAGGAGGGAAGAGTGGTTATGGAGTTGGTTTGGTGAAAAATCGACCAAAAATGGCCGAAAAATTGCCAAAAGTTTGAAAAATTGCGGTTTTCTAGCGAGGGGGAGAGTTTTTCACACGGCCGTGTAACGACCCCTTATGCCGTGTGGAATTTTAGGCTTGGCCGTGTGAAATTCCAGAGCCCCGGTTTTGACCATTTTTCGCGCAAAAGCGACATCCGAACTTTGACAGCACGTCATGACTCAAAAACACAAAAATTAAAAAGAAAAAAGAAAGGAAATGGAAACCTAGGTGGGGTTGCCTCCACACAAGTGCTTCTTTACCGTCTTTTATCTGGACGCCAGTAGAGGAACTAAGGGTCCTCGAGCTTGTCTGCAGCTCTGCGCGCTCGACCTCACCCACAAATACAACTTTAAGAGGTGGCCGTTCACTTTGAACGGCTCAGTTTGAGCATTGCTGATGTCCACCGCACCGTGCGGGAATACTTGGGTGACCGTGAAGGGTCCCGACCTCCTCGAGCGCAGCTTGCCCGGAAAGAGTTTCAGGCGTGCATTAAAGAGCAAAACACGATCACCTAACTGAAAATCCTTCGAGCCCTTCAACCGAGCATCGTGGAGACTTGGCTTGCTCCTTGTAGAGCAGGGTGTTCTCGTAGGCGTGGTACCGCAATTCCTCCAACTCCAGCAGTTGCAGCTTACGTTTAGTACCTGCAACACTCAAATCCAGATTTAGCAGCTTAAGGGCCCAGAAGGCCTTGTGCTCTAACTCTACAAGCAAATGACACGCCTTCCCATAGACAAGCCTATAGGGTGAAGTACCAATCGGGTTTTTGTAGGCTGTCCTATATGCCCAGAGAGCATCATTGAGCTTGGTGGACCAATCCTTGTGGGACTGATCCACCGTCTTTTCGATTATTCTTTTAAGCTCCCGGTTCGTCAGCTCGACTTGACCATTTGTTTGGGGATGGTAAGCCACCAACACCTAATGCTTAACACAATAGCGAGAGAGGAGCTTAGTAAATTGCCCTTGAAAATGGGTTCCTCTATCTCTTTTGATGGCACGAGGTGTCCCGAACCGGGAGAACAATTGCTTGAGAAATGAGCAGACCCGTCTTGCATCATTGGTGGGCATGGCTTGAGAATCTGCCCACCTCGAGACGTAGTCTACCGCAACAAGTATGTACAAATTTCCAAAAGATAGAGGGAATGGGCCCATGAAATCGATGCCCCAAACATCACAAATTTCACAAACAACATATATATGTTGGGGCATCTCATCCCGAGGGGAAATGTTACCTGACCTCTGGCAGCGGTCGCACTGTCGTGCGAAGGTGTGTGCACCTATGAAGAGTGAGGGCCAGTAGACGCTCGAATGTAGCACCTTCTGCGCCGTGCGGTTCCCTCCATGGTGACTGCTAGTTAGTCCCTCGTGGCATTGAGTCAAGATGTCTCTCATCTCGTGCTCCATGACACAGCGCCGATGTGATACCTCGACTCCGATTTTGATTTAACAACAAGTATTGAATGAGTTGAATAGACGTAGCAAACAGAATTGAAATCTCACTACCAGCCCAAGTTGGAAACTTTTGAAAAGGGCAATGAGTCACTCAAACCTATTCGATGCTACCAAGCTAGATGAGAATATATGTTATGGTCAAGAGTACATATAAGAACTATCGTAAGCTAGTCAAGACAAGGTAAGGGCACGCCATCGAAGCTCATATAGAAAGAGTGAAATCTTGAGCCAAAGAAGCACGAGAATGAGGAGTATGACAGGATGAGCCCGATCAAATTTCGGGGACGAAATTTTTGTAAGGATGGAGGAAATGTTACACCCCGATCTTGCCAAAAGTCAAAATGACTATTATACCCTTGGGGGAAATTCGTCAAATTTCATCGTAATATCCATGAGGACTAAAAATGCGAACTCTCGGTTCAAACGGTGTCGAGTTTTGACATAAATCGAGTAAGTTACGTACGCTAGTTGTGTTTCAGATTAAACTCACCCGTAATTTATGAAATGCCCAAAATACCCCTCGAGTTAATTAAAACCCAACCCCAACCCTAATCTCACGTTCCACTCGGCAAAACCCAGCCGCCGTTCCTCCCATCTCTCTCACTCTCTCGCCCGCCCTCACTAGTGTACCAATGCAAGAAAGCCTTCCTCCTGAACATGGCAGTGAACTGCTCGCTCACCCTGCGGAACATCTCTTGAATCGAAGTCGAGTTGCCGATGAACGTCGATGCCATCTTTAATCCTGTGGGAGGGATGTCACAGACGGTAGACTTCATGTTGTTGGGGATCCACTCGACAAAGTAGGACGAGTTCTTGTTATGAACGCTGATCATCTGCTCATCGCCTTCCTTGGTGCTCATCTTGCCACGGAACATGGATGAGGCAGTGAGGTACCTGCCGTGGCGTGGATCAGCGGCGCACATCATGTTCTTCGCATCCCACATCTGCTGGGTCAGCTCCGGGATAGTAAGGGCACGATACTGCTGCGACCCACGAGATGTGAGCGGAGTGAACCCGACCATGAAGAAGTGGAGCCGTGGGAATGGAATCAGGTTGATGGCAAACTTGCGGAGGTCAGAGTTGAGCTGACCAGGGAAATGCAGGCAGCAGGTGTCTCCTCTCATGGTGGCTGAGATCAAGTGCTTCGTCTCACCCTCCATCACCTAAGGCCGCCACCGAAATAGCCGATCGTCGCTCCGACCGCCTCCGCCTTGTGAAATCATTTTATTCCCGCCCGCCCTCAACGTTTACCGTTGGAGGAACAGCTGCGGCAGCCTTCTCGCGCTCTAGGAGGTTCTTCTTACGAGCAAATTTCCATGATGCATTTGGGAGTGCGATTGCCGAGATGAATAAGGTTAGATGCAAACTGGAATCCCTTTTCAGAGCCAAATTTATTCTTCTTTGTATATTGTTTGCGCAAAAACAAAAGAATAGAATTTAAGAGCAGGCTTAATTCATGATCAGAGTTTGGTTATGGTAATTCTATTTCACGTTGGCTTCATTTTGGGAGTCTTTTGGAGTGAGAAGAAACAAAAGCTCTGAACGTTGGTAGTTTGTATACTTATTTCCCAATTTGGTTTTAGCAAATGGAAGTGGTCTTTGGTGAAGTACCTAGTTGGGTTTGCAAGGGCAATATGTCATAGCTGACTTCACGTTGGGAGTTCTCTTAAGATGAAAAGCGGATTACTTAGTTACTTGGGATATGAGAATTATGTTTTGAAGGAAGCTCAAAGGAGGATGAGCAGAATTGTTTAATGGTTTTTTTTGAGCTACTTACTGGGTAGTTACAAACCTTAATCTACTCTCGTGAAGCTGGGCAGGCGAATGGAGCTGCGATGGATTCGCCACCGTCGCCCAAGTCCTCTCCCTACTCGACCATACACAAGGAGGGTCCCGTGGAATCGGATGACACTCTTTCGGAGGACGAGGCCAAAGTCTATGAGCCTCGACGCCGAGTTCCTTCGGCGTCAGGGGTGCTGAAACGGCTGGTTAAGACGTCCCGGGTTAGTCAAGTGGTGAGAGCATTTGAACTTGGGCTGGCAATGAAGGAGAATGACGATAAGGGCAGTACGAGTCAATCCCAAGCTCAGGCTCGTAGGGACTTGCTGGACACAGGTGTCGACATAGCTGCTAATACCCCCTGGATGAATATGGTAGTAATTTTTCGGAGATAGGGGCTGGTGTGAAGAAACGTCATTTTGACGAGATAGATAGGGAGATGACGGATATTCCGACCCCCAAAAAATAGTTTGTTGAAGAAAAAGATGACGATAAGGATGGAAAGGACAAGGTGGAGGAAGCCAGCCTCGAATGGCCCCAACCAAATAAATGAGGCTTCTGGCCTGGAATGTGAGAGGAATTGGGCCATCCCTCACATTCCAAACTGCTGTAGGGTTAGTGCATTCTAATAAACCGGATCTCGTGTTCTTCTCGGAAACACGATCGAGCCGGCGAGTAGTTACCCGGCGATTGCGGGGGTTAGGTTTCCTTCAGTCTCATTGTTTCTTTGTTGATGCTGTTGATGCATCTGGTGGGTTAGTAGTTGCTTGGTCCCCTGGGGTTGATGCCTCAGTGTTCTTTTATTCAAGTTTTTGTATTTGCACGAAGATTAATGAAAGTGATCGTTCTTATGTTGTGGTCTCTGTTTACATTAGCTGTGAGATTGTCACTCGGAATGCGCAATTGGCCCAATTACAAGAAATCTGTAATAGTATCCAGCTCCCCTATGTTGTGATTGGTGATTTTAACGCTACTCTCCATGAGAGTGAGAAAGATGGTGGGAATGCTTGGAACGCTGCTCAGGCTCTTAGTCTGCGAAATTTTATCCTTGAACTTGGCCTACTTGATCCTGGTTTCCAGGGAGACCAATTTGCCTGTATCCGTGAACGATTGGATCGAGCCCTTTGCTCCCAGTCATGGATTACTCAGTTTTCGGAAACAATGGTAAAGCACTTCACTGACCAGGGTTCGGACCATCGCGCCCTCCTTCTCTCTGACCAACCGTACCGACGCCATAGTCGCCCGCTGTTTCGATTTGATGCTCGATGGGCTGATAATCCCGAAGTCCACGCTATGGTGGTCTATGTCTGGAAGGAGGAGGTCCAGGGCACGCCTATGTTCCAGCTATGGGAGCGGCTGAAGAAACTTCGTCACTTTCTATATGACTGGAGCAGGGCGGGTACCACTAATTCCCTGCGGAATATTCGAACCCTCCAGGCGGAAATTGACCGGATTAAACTTATCCATCCAATTGATTGGGATGCAATCCGGCCCCTTGAGATAGAGCTATCCAGGCAATGGGAGGTGGAAGAAATATACTGGCAACAGAAATCTCGGGTCAATTGGCTGAAAAAAGGAGACCAGAATACCTCTTACTTCCATACGGTCACGAGGACTAGAAGAAAAAAGAATTTTGTTGCTGGGCTTCGTAGTGACTCTGGGGAATGGATCACTGATGAGGCTGGGAAGGCAGATATGGCGAATTCTTTTTACCAGCATTTATTCACTTCGGAGAATCAAGTGGGGAATATGCCTGACAGGGTGGCAAACCTCCCGATAGCTAGCAGTGTTTCGGCTGAGATGAATGCTGAGCTCACGGCTCCGGTCCATCCTAGTGATGTTCGACGAACTGTGTTTGCTATAGGGTCGAAAAAGGCCCCAGGATCGGATGGTTTCACTAGAAAATTCTTTAAAGCCTTCTGGGATATCGTGGGTGACTCAGTGATCGACGTAGTACGTTCCTTCTTCTCGATGAGTAAGATGCTGCGGAGCTCTAACCACACGTGGCTGACGTTGATTCCTAAGGTGGAAGCGGTAGAGAATTTACGCCAACTTCGCCCGATCAGTCTGTGCCAATTCATTTATAAAGTTATTACCAAAATCATGGCAGATCGTCTGGCCTGTCTCTTACCGCATATAATTTCGGAAGGACAAAATGCTTTCATTAAAGAGCGGCAGATAGTGGATAACATCCTCCTTGGGCATGAGTTGATGCATTATCTCAAGATTAAAAAGCAAGGTAAGAAAGGATACATGGCTCTAAAGGTTGATATGGAAAAGGCCTATGATAGAGTTGAATGGCCCTTTCTTCTTGCGGTTCTGGAGAAAATGGGCTTTAATTCTACCTGGAGGGGTTGGATCAGAGAGTGCCTCACTTCCACCTCGTTTTCGGTTTTAATGAATGGCACTCCTGCGGGGTATTTCTCTCCCTCTAGGGGTCTTAGGCAAGGGGATCCGCTTTCCCCTTTGTTATTTGTGCTCTGTACTGAGGGATTTGCCGCTCTTCTGCGGAAGGCTATTGCTGAACACAAATTGGAAGGTGTGAAGGTGGCTCCTCGTGCCCCGAGAATTTCCCACCTGTTCTTCGCGGATGACTCATATCTGTTCCTGCGTGGCTCTCTCCAGGAATGTGAAAACCTGATTGAAGTGTTGAATGAGTATGAGGAACTCAGTGGGCAGAGGATTAACCTGGGCAAATCGGCAGTGTGCTTTAGTAAGAATATAGCCATACCAGACCAAGAGTTCTTGGCCCAGATACTGGGGGTAGGTGCTGTGGGCGTACATGACAAATATCTTGGGCTGCCAACACTGATAGCCCGTTCAAAGATGGCTACCTTCCGTTACCTTGAGGAGAAATTATTGGAAAGATTGCAGGGTTGGAAACAACGGTCTCTTTCTTGGGCAACAAAGGAAACCTTGATCAAATCGGTAGCCTTAGCCTTACCCCTGCATGTCATGTCATGTTTTAAGCTCCCCCTGTCTCTCTGTCGCCTCCTTGATAAGCATCTTGCTCGGTTCTGGTGGGGCGTTGACGGTGAACATTCTAAAATTCGTTGGATGTCATGGCGGAATATGTGTCGTAGTAAGCATGACGGTGGTATGGGGTTCCGTCGGTTCGAGAATTTTAATCAAGCTCTCTTGGCTAAGATTGGGTGGCGTATCCTGAGTGAACCACAGTCCCTTTTGGCACAAGTCTACAAAGGGAAGTACTTTCCGCAGGGTACGTTCCTTTCGGCCACGTTTCGGTCGCGTCCTTCCTGGGGTTGGCAGAGTATCCTGTTTGGAAGAAGTTTGCTGGAGAAGGGTCTCCGTTGGCAGATTGGGGATGGTCAGACCGCTTCTCTTCTGCATTCCAGCTGGATTCCTAGCCTACATCCTTCTGAACCGGTTTATAATCCTCAAATTCTCCCAGAGGACAGGGAACTGTGTGTCTCTGAGGTGATGTGCCCGGGTGAGGGACGATGGTGTGATTCCAAGTTGGAGCGATGGTTTGATCCCCCCACTTGTCAGGCAATCAAGGCGATCCCTTTACCTAGGCATCCCGTACCGGACCGGCTTATCTGGCATGACACTGCAGATGGTCAATTCTCTGTTAAGACAGCTTACCACCTGGCAGTGCTGTTGGATAAACAGAAGGGAGGGTGGCGCTCGTTGGCAAGCTGGATGGATAAGCCTAGTTGGATCCGTATTTGGGAGGCTCCTATCCCGCCAAAGCTGAAGGTGTTCCTCTGGCAGCTCGTAAATCGAATCCTACCCACTACAGAAGCCCTAATTGAGAGAGAGGTCCAAGTGCATCCCAGATGCCCGGTATGTTGGGCGGAAAAGGAGACTTTGGAGCATCTTTTTCTCTTTTGCCCGGTGGCACGAGCTCTGTGGGACCTCTCGGGTTTGGAATTTTTGGGACAAGGATTACCTTGCCATACCTTTACCCTGCTTCTAAAAAGGATGCTGAACCTCATTCATCAGCCGGATTTGTTTATGGTGCTGGTGGCGGTCCTCTGGCGAATTTGGCGGTCTCGGAATTGGGTTGTCTTTGAAGGCAAACAGTTTGGGATCCCAGCTTTAATGAGGCAGTTTTACCAGCAATGTAAGGAATGGTTGAGCTTGCCCAGGGAGCAGATATCCCCTTTGCGTAATCCGCCTAGTATCCCGGCGAACCCGCCTGGCGATTCCAGGGTCATCTGCCGTTGGGATGGAGCTACCAGGCAGGGGGCTCCCTCGGCTAGGGGTATGGTGCTTATGACCTCATCCCAGGAGGTCATTCTGGCTAGGGGGATTCAATTTCCTGACCTGGGTGATCCTATGGTGATTGAATTGCTAACCCTTCGGGAGGCGGTTGGCTGGTGCTTAGGCCTGGGGTTTGCTGAAGTGAGGTTTGAAAGAGATGCCAAAGTGATTATTGACAAGATTATTTCGCGGCAGGCTAGAGATAACCGGGTGGGAGCTATTCTAGAAGAAGTTCTGCATTATTTTCTCTCGAATCCGGGGTTAGCTGTGCGGTTTATAGGTCGGAATAACAATAGGGTAGCCCATAGGGCTAGGAAGGCCCTTTCTTTGTCTCCGGCTATGAGCTGTGTTTTTTATTTTCGGGTAAATTC